TTTGAACTGCCGACCTTTTGGTTAGCAGCTATAACACTTAACCACTATGCTACCAGGGTTTTCTAAAGTAACTTAGATGGGTAGAAATGGAGTATTTTACTTTATTTTTACCATGCATTTATATTTTGTTCTGAGCTTTTCCAACCCAAAAGAAACCGATAAATTGCTTACCTTAATTCAGCAACATCGGCTTTGTCCAGAGCATTTAGAGCCACGATTGCCTTGTCAAAAGCTGGTAGTACACTTTTAAGTTCATTGGTAGTTTTCTACAATAAAGACATAAGCCCCAAAATACATATGAATGAATATAGTTGCATATTTAAAATTTTTAGTTTTTGAACTTGGGAAATAAAATTTGACATTTGTACACTGAGTGGCTTCTGTCTTCTCTATTAGACTCAGTGTAATATTGACAATACCCTTTTGAGGAGTGGTCCAGTTAGAGGTGGAATTACTGTGAAGCTAATGAAGCCTAAGCTTTAGAGTCCCTTACCTGCATAGGACCCTTCCAAGGCCCTGAAAGGAAGTCTGATAATATGTTTGCAGGGTCATATGTTTTTGTTAAACTTGCAAAAGCAAGACATTTTTAACTGCCATAAGTTCAGACCATTTTCTCTTTATACTTTGACTTACTCTTTGTCCTACTTCCAATCATGTCAGGTAGAGTTGGAATGGCTGCAGATATTTTTGGGATCTGGTTAAGGAGTAGAGTTGGGAATTATATTTATATTGTCCACAGTTGCTTCCTGTATAATTAAGTTATTGTAAGCAACCTGGAATAGGAAAGACTTCCAGAAATACTCCTATTGTTCACTGTTCCAACTTTCCTAGTGATGTGACAGTAAGGTGCAGGACTAGAAGTCATATTGTAATATGAGCTTGTCCTATAGACGCCAGCACTGGAAGTATGTGGGTATGGAGTACGCAATGTATGGATCCAGAAACTTGTCTGTGGAAAATTCTTCCATTTATTGGGTGTATTAAGTTGTAAGTATAGGGCTAGATTCTCATTGACACCTACTCACAATGGAAGGTCACTCCTTCAAGAATATACTTGATAATGCAGCATATACTATTATAAACCCACCATACATTTTTTCTTTATTTGATGATAGTTGTGTAAAATACAGTTCATCAGAATACTTGAGTTTTTAGATAATAAATACTGTATATGGAAAGCTGTTTTGAAATGTTTCAATGATAAAATTTGAAGTTACAGATTCCTCATATAGACATGTGTGAAATGTACCTTATGTCAACATCTTTGTCTTTTTATTTATAAATAATTAACCTGATAAAATTTTAAGAAATAAACAAAAGTGATTGAGTTATAACATCAATAAAGATTATTCTGATATTGAGAAGCAAATTGTAATAAAAATTTTCAGGTCATATTAAAGGTAATAATATATGAAGAGAAAAAAAGAAATTTAGGATAGAAGTAATAACTGTCTAGTAATCCTTTAATAAATAAGAATGAATCATGATCATATTGGAAAAATTTTAATTTCTTGCTGATCTTGCAAGAAATACTGGCATCAATGAGAATAACATAACAACCAAAAAACACCTCTATAATGAGGACTTTGAAGCAAAACTAGTTAATAAATGTCATCAGTTCAAGGAGTATTACAAATTAATCACTGCATAAGAAATCTTGAACAAAACATAAAAGGCA